CTTGGGCTACTCAAATATTTTATGTTTTTGATACTAAATTAACATCTGAAGTATAATTTTTTATTATTTTTATATTTTTCAATATATTTATTTTGTTTGTACAAAATAAAAAAATAATTTTTAACGATACAATAGTCTTTGTTAGGCTTAACATTGACGAAAATTCAACGCAAAGCGACACGCAACGAATAAAAATTTCGACATCGGATACATTAAACCATTTTTTCGTACGTAAATCAGTTATCCGAAATATCAGTTATCCAGACAACCCCAGTCCCCAATTGATTCGGAAAATCGACACTCTACTGTATATAAAACTAATTTTGAATTAATTTTACAAGTATGTAATCTATGTAATCTCTATAATTATATTGTTTGGAAAAATCAGAGTGGATGGAGCAAGAAAATTTAGAATGATCAGAGTGGATGGAGCAAGAAAATTTAGAATGATCAATTTTGTCTTGAAAAAAGTCATCCAAATTTCTAGGAGAGAATAATAAATTTATGAATTCACTGTCAAATTTCATTTAAGAATTTCAACACATACTAATGTTAGAAAAGAAAGTACAATTTTCAAAATATTGCAAATTTTGTTAATCCAGGAAATTTGATTTAAAACTATTAAGAAAATCTATTAGCCACAACTCCATTCTAACAACTATTAGAGCCATTATTTTTCAAACACTAAATATGTGACTTTGATTGATAAAATTGAATTGGTTTGATATTGCAAGTCAACAATCTGAATGATGCAAATACAACAGATTGAATTCCCTCATTTTTCTGCTTCACAGTAGCATATGTCAAATGAAGGTTGCTGATATGTCGCAACTTTGTTCAAATGAACCAAACCAGTTCATACTGTGATTTTGAGTGCACATTAACTTTATTTAATATATCATTTTTCCAAGCAAAGCCAAGTATCTCAGCTAGTATCAAATAAAACTTAAGTGATAAATTTAAATGTAAATAAAAGACAAAAACAATAGTAACAATTAAAATAAACCAACAAACTAAAGCATTTATTTTATTTATTTTTATTATTTATTTTATTAAACATTTCATTTAATCATTATGGTGCCAAATTATCAAGAAAGCTTTAAAAATAAACAAAACTAACTTAATATGATTATTTTAATTTGCAATTATAAATATATATTTTTCATTATACTTGTATGAAAGATAAAATCAAAGTAGAAATATGTAGCACATTACTATCTTTGCACTGCAAAATTTCCATACTTAACCATATTTTATCAAAATATAAATATAAGAAAATAAGTTTTCCTCCCAAATTTATTATTATTTCAAGTCATTTTTTCACATTAAATACAGTATCTATATATTTCCAACATAGGTATACTGACATATTTAATTCTTTGTGTAATTATTAGTTCCATATAATATTATATATAAAAGTGGGAAGATAATTGTTGATTTTAAACAACTTAGATCTTTTTCAATGTCAACATATATAATTCAATTTTAAGTTTTCTTAACTGTATTTACAGAATTTTAAAAAAGTATGAATGTATTTTATATTTTTTTATATTTTAAACTTGAGAATGATTTTCAATTCTTGTTCAGTCTTTTAAAAATTTTAAATTTAATTATCATCAAATAATTGTTTACCGACTGAGTTGATTGATTTGGCGGTGGTGGTTTCTTCATAAAAAGTACTTTATGTATATCCGTAAAGGGAAGAGTTTCATCTGAATGAACTGTAAAAAGTGAAGAATCCCATCTATTTCTAGAATCTGGACATTCAAATCTTTGAATGAGTGCATCAAAACTGTAAAACATTTATTTTCAATAATAATTAATATATAATAAAATTTAAAATTCCATGTAAAATTAGTCANCTAAGCAATGAAACACAAATTATCATAAAATTATTATGTAAAGAAAATAACGCTTATATTTAAAGCCAATGACTATCAACCTAAAACAAACATTCAATGCTAATTGTCTCATTAATTTCCTTATATTAAATTATAAATCTTACTATTTACATCATTTGTTTTTCTATTTGTCATTATAACTAAACTTATAATTAATAATTCCAACCAAACATGCCTTAAAAATGATTAGAGTAAAATTGATATTATTCAGATAATTAAAGCATTTTGAGTTCATTTTAACGTATAACATAAGTTAGTATAGAAAGTTATTAGCATAATAAAATTACTTGATTATCCAAGATATAATTTATTAATAATAATTTTTTATTATATTTATGCTTAACCTATTTTATTAATTTCTCTAAATCAGTTTATGTATTCATTTGTTTAACAAATAGAAATTCCTGAATATGAACCAGTCTTGTTCTCTCACTGCACACAATAACAAATCTGTTATACACTCATTGAGACTTTCAGCATTCAAAACAGTACAAGTCTAACTTTAAGTAATTAAGATGCTTTTGAGTGAAATCTAGAACTTCATCTCTCAGCTCCTAAAATATCTTATTTTTTCCTATACAATTTTTGCTAAATTATGAATGCAATATACAGGGTGTTTCACAGCCTCTCCACAAAGTTTTTTTGAATAACTTTTGAACTGCATGGTTTCAGCCTCANGCTTTTGAGTGAAATCTAGAACTTCATCTCTCAGCTCCTAAAATATCTTATTTTTTCCTATACAATTTTTGCTAAATTATGAATGCAATATACAGGGTGTTTCACAGCCTCTCCACAAAGTTTTTTTGAATAACTTTTGAACTGCATGGTTTCAGCCTCAATTTTTTATAAGTGGTGCTTTGAGCAAAAAGGAATTGCTTCTATCAGAAAAGCACATTACTTCAAAACTGTTATGAGTTTTTCCATAAGTGGCCTCGCCTGGCCACCTTACAGCCCTAATTTAAGTCCACTAGACTTCTTTCTTTGGGGATACACAAAGGATCAGGTGTTTAAGAATAACCCTACCACCCTCAGTCAGATGACAGAAAGCATCGAGAGCATCATGAAGGGCATCTCAGATCAGACCTGTAGTAATGTGATTTCTCAGATCAGACCTGTAGTAATGTGATTGCTAATTTCCAAGAGAGACTGCACTACTGCATCGACAGAGGGCAGATATTTTGAAAATATCTTGCATTAATTTCCATTTTCACCTTCTATCTTTGCTGAAAATTTCATTAAAAAATTTGAATTTTCAAAAATGTTATTCAAAAAAAACTTTGTGGAGAGGCTGTGAAACATCCTGTATATAGGAAAAACATGAATCTTTAATTTGTAATAAATATTAAGAATTATCATAAGATTCAAATTTGATCTAAATAAAGCAATTATTAAAATTTCAAAATATTTACCTTTTATATAGTTAGAAGCATCCAAAATTACTACATCATTCTTGGATATATTCCTATTAAAAAAAAAAAAGAGAGAGAGATAATACAAAATAAATTAGAACATTTATATATATATATTTTTTTACTAGACTCATTTAAATAAATTAATTTTAATAACACAATACAACTTGATTAATTTTAATAATTGTTGTTAATATAATTTCTTTTATGTCTGTACAAATCTGTGTGTTTAAAACATTAAATTTAGAAAAATTAAATTATAGTCATGAAACATATATAATTCTGAACAGCATCATAACATTTCTTACATATATTACTAAAAGTACAAAAAAATTCCAGTAATGGAGTCAACATAATTTCCCAACTGTTATGAGTTTATTAAAAAAATAACTTTTATATTATTAAGCAAAATAAATGAAATTGTGTATGGTTCCATCTGTTATAATATTTTGTTATAAAAAATTTTTTATATTTTTAATTACTATAAAATGGCAAAATGCTTAATTTTGAGAGTAGGGATGATTTTATAAAAATAAAATGTTAAAAATAAATAAAACTTTCATTAAGTCCTATCCCTTGAGATATGACACATGACCTCCTTTATATCCTCACCTTCTTGACCTTTAACACCAAAATTAATAGCATCAATGCCCCTCACATACAAGCCACCATGCCAAATTTTGTTTCTTGATCTTTATCCCATCTTGAGCTATTAAGCAAAATAGATGCCAACATGCACACACACATGCACTAAATAATTTTTTCCATTTTTTTATTTTTTATTATTACTTTTTTTGAATTCAGGTCTGAAAACATGAGGATTTGCAAAAAAGTCAGATGGTGAAATATGACATGATTCCAATACTTTCACTTGTTATGTACAGTAATACCCCAAACTTACGCAATAGGTGGGACTGAGCAATAACCACGCAAGTTGAATTAGCATAAGTCGGGTATAATTTCGCATACAAATACATACAAATTATTTTTATTTGGGGCTGGAGACTAAAAAACACAATAATTTAGAAAAAATGTTTCCAAAAGTCTTTAACAGAGAGCTCGTTGTTTTGTCTCATAGCTTCATGCAGATGTGCAAACGATCGTCTTGTGTAATGAGCTTTGAATGTTTTTACGACTCCCTGATCCATCGATTGAAACAAGCTGGTTGTATTTGGTGGCAAAAATACAAGTTTCACACGTGGGTCAAAATTAGTTAAAGTTGCAGGGGGATGACCTGGTGCGTTGTCGATTATGAGCATCACTTTAAATGGAACTTGTTTAGATTGGCCATAACATTCGACTTCAGGTATGAAGTGATGACCAAACCAGGTATGAAGTGATGACCTCAAAAAGGGAAGCTGCAACCCAAGCTTTATGATTTGACTTCCAAATCACAGGCAAGCCAGCTTTAGATTTTTTTTTCAATGCTCTTGGATTTTCTGAGCGATAAACTAAGAGAAGTTTTAACTTACAATCAGCAGCTGCATTCGCGCCAACCATCACTGTCAATCAATCTTTGGCAGCCTTAAAACCTGGAAAGGTTTTCTCTTCATGCGTTATAAATGTTCTTTTAGGCATCTTCTTCCAGAACAGGCCAGTCTCATCTACGTTGAATATGGTTTGGCTGGTATAGCCACCTTCATCTATCATAGCTTTGAATTTCTCTGGATAGTAAGACGCAACCTCTTTATCAGCACTTGCCGCCTCTCCACTTTCTGCAATGCTATACTTATTACAGCGACTTTTGAATTGGCTGAATCAACTGTTACTAGCTTTAAACTCTTCATCTTTAGCCACCTCTTTCCAGCATCCTCTTTCAATCTCTCAAAAACCAGCTTAGCTTGAGAGCACATTGTGTTCTGATCAACAGGACAATTTTTCACATTTACTTGATTATCACACCATAATTTTAACATTGTTTCCATCTCAGCGATAATACCGTTTATGAATGATGCTTGAATTTAAAGCTTCATAGCTTCGAGAATTTTTCACAGCTTCAAGAATTTTTTCTTTACCTTTTATAATTGTTATAACCATCGATTCCAGTAGATCAAACTTCTTTGCCAATTCACAAATTTTCATTTTTGTATCGGTCTTTAGTAATGTTAACTTTACATTCCAAAGATAAAGTTTATTTTCTTGTTTGATGCAGAAGAATCAGTTCTACTTCATTTGGATGACATAATAAAGTCTCTCAAGTTTCCGTAGATATAACAAATACAGAAATAAATAACACAAAATAAATTGTAGCTATGCATCGATTCCGCGCGACACATCCGAACATGTAAGCTGAACAATAGTGTTGGTGGAGTGAGTAATCAAGAGTTGCATGCACTCAAACAGAAGAGGAATTGATGAGATTTGAAAATCGCGTAAGTTGGGGTAGAGTAAGTCGAGGTATTACTGTATACATAACAGCTAGGAAAGTAATACAGTATCTACATTGATAAAGAAGTAGGGATTCCACAAGAAAAAAATTACCAGGATGAGGCCACTATTAAAAAAAGGTTGAAAAATACTGATCTAAGTAAATGTTTAATAAACATTTTATATACAAGGTGAGGCATTTAACCTGAAAAAATGAAATATATCCAAAAGAAAGCATTGCAGAGAAAAATGTTTGAAATAAAATGTGTTTGTTTTGAATGTAAAAGGGTAACATTTTTTTTTAATTTTGAGCATGTTTACAAAGTCATATCAAGATAAAATTTTCATTTTCAATGAAAACCCATATTTTTGTAGCAACAGCTGAATCTATGCAAAATAACAAAACTTTTGCCTGAAAGATTTTTCTGTTTACTGCCTATTTTTGACAACACTTAAATTTTAAAGGAATGTTAACATCACTTCTTATTCCAAACTAAAAATTAATACTTTTTTTTAGCAATACGTGAAAATTCAATTTGTCGTCCATCATGTTTGACTGTTGGAATTAGACATAACCTCCTAAGCTTCTTTAGGACTCCTCTAAACATACCCACTTTGTAGTGAGAAAGTGTAAAAGTTGATTCATCAGACCAAATAACAGTTTGCAAGTCATTGACAGTCCAGGACTTGTTCTCACTAAGCTATTGTTTTTCACTCTACAGCATTATTTCTGTTATGAGTGGTTTGTGAATCACTATCCTGCCACAAATATTCAGTTTATGAAGTTACCTCCTTGTAATTTTGGTAAAGACTCAGTCCTGAAGATGTAGATCAAGTTCTGCAGTTACTATAGAAGCAATAGTCTTATGATTTTTTATTATAATCTTTTTTAACATCTTGTCATTAAACTTTCACTTTCAACTGCCATTTTTCTTAACTGAAAATGTTTTACCTTGAAGCAGGTACACTGTCATAGCTTTTGATACTGTATCTCTAAATATTCCTAATTAATGGACAGTTCTGGTTACAGAGACACCAGCTAGATAAATCCCCTCTTTGAATAGTCTAACATATCGCACAAATAACACAATTCTATAAACTCCAAAGAGTAATTAATGCTTGATAACAATTGAATGATCCACTGACAGTTTTGAAAAACCAGTCACACTATCTGCTAGTCTATTGTTGCCACCAACATAAACCAAAGATATCTGCAATACAGGTCCAAATATTGTATGTAGGTTTATGTTTTAATTTATATCCTATAAATGGAATTTTGCACATGTTTTCAGATTCATCCACTCTGAGGTCTAATCCCACAGAGAGAGTTAACTGGAAGTCTACAATATATTTATATATATACTAAATACTATATATTTAGTATATATAAAGTGATTCTTTTAGTTTTATCTTCTCCAAGAATTCAGTACAGTAGACCCCTATAAAACGGGTTCCTATAATTACGATTCCTATAAAACTGCAAAAA